AGAAACAAGATGCCGAAGAAACAAGCTACCAGAGGCCGAGGCCGTGGCCGTGGCCGAGACAGATCGGCATGAAACAGATCGGCAGATCGGATGAGACAGATCCATGAATTCGCCGTTGAAAATGTTACCATTTTCGCAGCGTCTTTGCCACGCGTGTACTGCGCGTGTACTACGTTTATGGAGATGTCACGACGCTTGTCTCACGACCTTCGCGACCCCACCGCGTTCTCACCGCGTTCCAGGTCAGATCGCCGAACCTTGGCGATCATTGGCGACCATGGCGACCACACCACGATGTCTGGCGTTTCCACCACGCTTATACCACGCTTATGGCGACCTTGGCGCGCTCTGGGCCCATTTTCCGTCGCCGTAGCAGCGCAGTAAGGACGCCACCCCGGTGTGACGGGGGTGCGACGGAACCAGTCCTATGCTGCATGACTCTGGACTGTTTAAATTACCTAAATAATGCGAAATACATGTATAGTGACATAATAGAAATAGGACCTTTATTATATATGGACGATATTTTAGGAATTGAAGACCATAAAACAATTACAAAAATCGCTCACTCATGCTACAGACTAGCACAATCAAAAAGATTAGAATTTAATTTAAACAAAACAAACACAATGGTCATGAAATTTTCAAATAAAGAAAGGATAGAGAAAGATATATTATTAGGAAATCAGGTAATCAAAAAATGCACTAAATATTCATATCTAGGCGATCTAATTAATGACAAAATGGGGTTTAAGGACATGTTAAAAGCACGGTCCGATAAATGTAGATTCATGATGAGAGAAATAGTATCAGGGACAGAGGAGCAAAATTATGGTAACCATACCATAGAAGAAAGAGTTAAATTATACGAATGGACAGTAATACCTTCCTTCCTGCACAACAGTGAAACATGGACCAACATAACTAAGGAAGAAGTTAAAATGTTAGAAGACTCTCAAAATGAATGCCTACGTAAAATAATAAAAGCTTATAGTAAAACACCATTGGAAGCACTAAGGATAGAGTTGGGAATTTTACCAATAACTGATAAAATAGCATACAAAAAACTTATTCTACTTCAATACATAATTAAGTTATATAACAATAGATTAATAAAGAAAGTATTTATACAGCAGATCAAAGAGGAAGGAAGAAACTGGGGAAATGAAATCTTATTAATCCTAGAGGAGTACGAACTAGAAATCTCATTTACAACCATATGATTAAAACCAAAAAGAGCCTGGAAAAAACAAGTCAAAGATGCCATACTAAAACGAGTAATTAAAAGAGACAAATTGAAAACTTGAGGCAAAACAAAAATGAACATGATAAACATTAAAACATACGGATTAAAGGAATATATGAAAGAATTATCATTTACCGATTCGTGTTTTGCATTTAAATGCAAAACTTGCATGATTGACCTAAAATGATACTTTAAAAATAATTTTAGCAATGATAATTAAGTGTAATAGATGTAATAAGGATATGAAAGAAGATATGGAACATTTATATAATTGCGATAGTTATAAAAAATATAAGGAGGGACAACAAATAGATAACTGGATGTCCCCAGCCATGAAATATTAAAACCAGCGTTAGATTATGTACGGAAAATTCTGGCGATTCGTGACACTAACATTTAGAGAATTAGAGGCGACGTTTATCCCTTTGTTGTCTAGATAATCCCCGCACTCGTAGATTCGGGTACCTTGTGAAATACAAGAGAAGGTGCTAAGATACAAGCTACAAGATACAATATACACTATTCTATTATTACAATAGTCAATACTATATAGGTGGCCTTATGCCCCCGTCATACAAATACTATATATGTGGCCTTGGGCCCCCATCATACACTATTATTACGATTCTATATAGGTGGCCTTATGCCCCCGTCATACAAATACTATATATGTGGCCTTGGGCCCCCATCATACACTATTCTATTATCACAACTCTATATAGGTGGCCTTAGGCCCTCGTCATACAAATGCTATAAATGTGGCCTATTGGGCCTCCATCATACAAATATAACGCCGGCAACACTATAACGTGCTATATTCATAACTAACCGAGTGCTGCACTGGCGCTTGTCTTTTTTCTTTTTTTCCCTATTTAATGCTATATATATCTATGCCTATGCGTAATACAATCGGCATATACCATGGTAATTTGTTTTAGCATTACTAAAATACGTAAACAACAAGAAATATTTTCGGTCGCGGAAGGGTTATTGTCGGAGTGAGCTGACGGGGGCTGGAGGCATACATAAATTTCTTCCCTGTCGCCTTTCCCATGCAGTCTCTCAAGTAATCTGTTAGCCAGCTGTCCGTCCAGCGTGTCGCGTGCTGAGAAATGGGCAACAACGTGGCTTCTTTCAATATTGATAACTCAAACATTCTTCGCATTACGCGCGTTAAGCCCGGCGCACACGTGAGTATAATTTCATTCAAGTCAAATGATGCATGCGTCAAAATACTCACGCGAAATATTTTCAGCGTTGGCCGCACACGTGAGTATTTTGAGGCATGCATCATTTTACTCAGTAAAATTACTCACGTGTGCGCAGGGCTTTTACTTACTCGCTGTACTATAATTATCTATCTCTTTTCCTTACTTACAAATGTTTGGGTGTCATTATAAGTAGCGCTCTTCGCTGGAATGCCCACATTGGTTATATTTGGAGGGAAACTTCTCGTTCGTGCATATGTTACTGCGTAACGTACGTTAGCTTTGCTGATGCTAGAACCCCGTACCCTGGCCTTTATGTGGTTTTTCCGATATTAGAACATGCTTCGCCAGGCTGGTGCCCCTATACTTTTCATAACTTTTCTAAATTGGATGCCATTCAAGATAAAGCTGCGAGATGGTTTTCCGAACACTATCATATTATTAGATATAGTTCTGATGTTGTTTTGGCTAAATTTGTTTGGCCTCCTCTTTATGTCCACTTTCTCCATGCTACACTCATAACTTTTCATAAAATTTATCATGGTCATGAGAAGATTGGCATTCCCTCTTGCTTGATGACGCCTGTTGGTGGCACTCAATAATCTGAGGACTCTCTGAGCGTGATCATTGCTTTCGACACTAGCCTCTATGTTTCTGTTATTCCGTATTAAAATTCTCTGCCTTCCTCTTTAGTTACAATCCGCAGTGTTGATCTGTCACTTTCCGTCTTCCATACAGTGCCTTGGACTTTGAAGACCAAGTTTCAAAACTTTTATATTCACACGCTAGATGGCAGCACCCGTTAAAAACAAACTGCCAGCATCAACACTTCCAGCAAAATGGATACAGAAGTAGAAATCGTATTGTTATCTGCTATATTTGTACTTATCGTACTGATATTCGGCACAGTCTTTGGGCTATTGTACTATTCTGGCATTTTTCACGATGTTGTCATTGGCGCAGGGAAACCGCCAGTGGCAAACGTCGAAGTGGCGTACCTGATCGGACGGGGTCCATATAAACATGCGGGTAAACTATTCACTCAAGTGACCGCAGCAGCACCCATGTGTCGTGGTATAGGCCTGTATTATGACGACCCTCACGAGGTGAGTTGGCAAACTGTACAGCGTATGTTTGTTAACTGAGCGCACGTAGAAAGTTCGTATATTCAGAAACAGATACCAATCAGTGATCACCAGCACATCAACGGACGTCGTCATCATTGACTGTCCTGAGCACAGGCACTTGGACCGTTTCAATAATAAAATGATGGTTAATAAATACAACTTGTCAGTACTACTACTAGCCCTACCAGTACCAGTACCAGCAATAGTCTTAATGTTTGATATAACTTCACTTCAACACCGTCCAATACACCGCTGCAACACATAGCCCGCACGCCATTGTGCATGCACAAATACACAGTAGGTTAGAGACACACTCTACAGTAGGTTAGATACACACTCTAACCTACTGTGTATCTGTGCATGCACAATGGCGTGCGGGCTATGTGTTGCAGCGGTGTATTGGACGGTGTTGAAGTGAAGTTATATCAAACATTAAGACTATTGCTGGTACTGGTACTGGTAGGGCTAGTAGTAGTACTGACAAGTTGTATTTATTAACCATCATTTTATTATTGAAACGGTCCAAGTGCCTGTGGCACGTACGCCATTGTGCATGCACAGATACACAGTAGGTTAGAGTGTGTATCTAACCTAATGTAGAGTGTGTCTCTAACCTACTGTGTATCTGTGCATGCACAATGGCGTGCGGGCTATGTGTTGCAGCGGTGTATTGGACGGTGTTGAAGTGAAGTTATATCAAACATTAAGATAAGACTATTG